AGAAGCAGGCTTCCCACCGAGCAGGGAGCCCGATGCGGGACTCGATCCCAGGACCCTGGGACCATGACCTGAGCCGAAGGCAGACGCTTAACGACTGAACCACCCAGGCGCCCAACCCCCAATTAGTCTTACAAAACCAACCCATAACTAAGAAAATATAAAGACAGTCATCATTTAAAAAATGAATATGTTGACCACACAGCGTGTGTGGCTCCTAATGTGATATAATTCCAACTATATGGCCACCTCCTCAGGTGTTCCTGACAAAAGAGAAAAGAAAAGGAAACAAAAGAAATTTTAAAGAGAAAAATGCTGAGCTTAATTATTAAGTCCTTATGCCTAACTTTCCGTCTTATAGGAAATACAGAGACAGAGACTGTTTTAAATGACATCGCAAGGTCATCATTTGCCCATTCCAAAATGCCAGCTATTCTCTATGATAACTGACCCTGTTTTTTTGTTTGTTTGTTTGTTTCTTGTTTTTTTTCTACAGGTTAATGGTATGGAAGAAGTGGAATGGGGTAATTTTCCGGATTGCAAGAGATGGATGAGATACAATAACCCAATACAACTGAGACTGTTGGATCCTGACTTGAACATATCAACTTGAAATATACATTTCAATAGGAAACATTTGAATATAGATTAGATATTAAGGAATTATTGTTAATTTTGTTGGGTGTGATGATGGTATGTTTACATAAGCAAATAATTTTTAAAATTTTTTTAAAGATAAATACTGAAGCATTTAGGGTGAAATAATATGATGTCTAGAATTTGCTTCAGATTTCTTCAGCTAAAATTTTTAAAAGGAAGGACAGATAAAGTATCGCAAAATCTTGATGGATGTTAAAGCTGGATGCTGGGTTAACGAGAGTCCACTGTACTCTAGCTTTTTGTGTGAGCTTGGAAATTTTTGTGATAAAGATGGGGCAAAGTGAAAAGCAATGGCAAATTATCCTAAAGAGAATTTGTAGATATTTAACAATTTCTAGTTTTCATGCCTCCCTGGTCAGAAACTTTTCGGACAATTCAAACAATTCAACAAACTATGCAAACAATTTCAAAAGAACATTTTAGAAACCACTCAGTCTCATTTTTAGTTGGAAAGCCAGAATCACAAAGGCATGGGGATAGGAGAGAAGCGGAGACCAGCCACATTTTGGGATACAGTTGATCAGAGAGCAAGCCAGCTCGACAGCAAACATGCTGATTCTTTTTTATTACTTAAAGTAACTTACTGCTTGCATACAAGCATGATACTCTTAAACTTTTTTTTTTAGATTTAATTAAATTAATTTATTTATTTGAGAGAGCGAGTGAGAGAGCACAAGCACAGCGGGGAGCAGCGGAGGGAGAGGGAGAAGCAGGCTCCCCGTCGAGCAGGGAGCCCGACGTGGGGCTCGATCCCAGGACCCCGAGATCACGACCCAAGCTAAAGGCAGGTGCTTAACCGACTGAGCCACCCAGGCGCCCCCAAACATGATACTCTTAAAAGGTTTTTGTGTGGATGGTAACACACATGGAGGGAAACATAAAGTAAGAACAAAACAGAAAGGAGGAGGGTGAGGTAAATGTGGACACATACCATACTCCAGCTGTAGCCTCCCACAAGGTAAATGCTGTCATCGAGCACTGCACAGCCAGGACCACTTCGACCCTCCAAAATGGGAGTTTGGAGAATATTCCATTGGTCACCTTTTGGGTCATAGCATTCCACGAGCATTACGTCAAGGTGGGAGAAACCTAAGTGACATAGCAAAATGGAACCACGTAAGAATAAACTCTCAGTGTCCTGATTCAAGGCTAGGCCTTCTTTTTTAAAAAGCTCTAGATCCAAGAAATAGATAATTTTGTCTCTAAAGGGACAAAAGTATAAATTTACTGGTGAAATTGGGAAACATGTTACAGGGATAGTTATGCCATTATGTTCATTTTACAGATGAGAAAACTGAGGGACAGAGAGAGGTAATGACTTGAATAAGGCATGCAGCCAGCAAGTAGACAGGTTGAAGTTTAAACTCAGGCAAACAGGCTTCGGAGCTCATATTCTTACAGACTAAACGGTATCATTTTTCCTAAATGAATATTTAACTCTCTCAAAATGTTTTAATTAACTAAAAACATGGTGTTCAGCATCTTTTACCTTTTTAACTCTTTATGTTTATAAACAACTATGATGACGTGAGTGGTTTCCAATATCTACTAAGGATCAAGGTAGAGTAAGGGGCTAACTTCTGCTGAGGGCTTCTCCTCTCACCTCTGATGAAGTTTCTCAGTGGCTGGGGCAATAAGCAGGTGGCAGAGAACAACTTAAGTTCTTGGACTCCACTGGGACCCTGCTTTTAATTTAGGAAGTCAAAAAATCCTTGGGAAGAGCTTCATGGTCACCGAGCAGACCAAATCCTTACTAATATTTTTCTTCTATCTAAATGCATGCAATGGCTATTTGCTAGCTGACAGTTACAATGCATACACTAAATTAATCAACCTACTGGGCTCTCCAAAGTAATTGAGAGATTGACCAAAAAGTAGAATAATTTTCATTCTGGAAGAGGTGGACAAATTCTTTCAGGCCACTAACTTCATACGTAAAATAAATCACAGCTTTGGGAACAGGAGAACGAAGGGCTTACTGGAATTCTGTGGCATATTCCTTTCCTTTACCATTAAGATTATTGATGATAATATATGTGAATGAGGATTGGGGCAAATTCCCAGTTCTGAAATTCTAATGGCATCACAGGAGTGTATGTATGCCTTCTCTGCACCCAGTACATATATATGTTGACTGTAAGCCTCACAAAAACTACCAAGGAAAGGACAATTATCCCACTTTTATAGACATGAGGTTGAGTGTCTTGAGTAAGACCACACAACTCCAAATGCATAACTGGGACCCAGATCCATACCTTTCCCTCTAAGCCATAATGCCTCCATGAGCCAACCTAGTTTGATGTGTGTGTGTGTTATTTAGGTTGTCATTCCCCAAATCTTTCTGTTCTGGTATAACCTCAAGCATTAAGAGTTCCTAGAATGTTTAGTCATTATTATGCAAAAGAAATTAGCAGAAATCACATTTTAATGTAGAAAGCTACAAAGTTAATACTGCATACAAATATTTTGATGTAAAGGAATGGTGTATGGATTGAAATGAAGGAGCACCAGTGAGAGAGAAAAAGAATATAAAAGGAAGAATTACAGCCGCAAAGATAATCTCCCACTGAGGAGAGCACTGAGGAGAGCACAAAGATGAACAGCATGGACCAGGATATTGACGTTTAGGACTGAATATGAACTTGGAAATATTTACATAAACATTAAGCCTGTGTGGTCTTTATTACGAGAGGGGTACATATGTATTAGGAAATCCGGACAGGAATGTCCACTTTGAACCCAGTTTTTAGATGGGTGTACTACGGAAAAATAAATGCACAGATGGGCCTCAGCTACTACACTTGGATGGCCTGTTGCTCATTTGGTTCAATTTCAAGGATCATGGCCGGCCAGAGCTGGAGGAGATTTTAGAGATCAACTAGACCAGTTTCTTCATTTTCAGGTGACGAAAGACTGTGGCCCGAGGCAGTTCGGGACTCTTCTCAACACCAGAGTTCTCTCTGTTTCCCTTTCACACCCAGTGTGCTGCGCATGAGCATGAAATCACAGGCGCACACAAACTACAGGAAGTTGTGGTCATAGACATATATGGAGAAGGAAAGGAGCCAAACAAAACTCTAAAAATACTCTGTTTTAAATATTTTTATTATAAAGCAAACAAAGAATTTGAGAGTCATAGAAGGTCTGGTATTCAACTCTTCAAAGAAATAATTCTAAATTTAGACATGAAATTCTATGAAATGTTCTCGTTAAGAAAAATCATGTATTAGCTTCTTTGTGCCTCTGTGACTGAAGTTCTTCATGATTACTACAAAAAACAATTTTCTGGAAAAAATGTATTACTATAATTTTGGGGATAAGGAATAATTTATTTTACTGAACTCATTGTTACAACAAATTGTTCGTGCTTTAATGCTCTCGTTTTTTTACTTTCTGTTAACATCATTATTCATTTCTTTAATGTGTGTGGTAACTTAAAAATAATCCTATCTGCAGAAGAGCTAAAATAAATGCCTGCCCAAGGGTCCAGCTAATTTACACAGAGTCGATTTTATTTGGTCAACATGTTTTTTACTTGGTTAACTATGATTATCTAACGAGAAAACCCCTTAGCAAGAAACATGAGATGCAAATGATATTGTGATTTAAGAAAAAAAAAAAAGACCTTTCAAATGATTTCCTCCAATTGCATACAAGCGATCATTCATGACAGCCAAAGTGTGGATGGCGCGTTTTGTGTTCATATCTTGTTTTCGAGCCCAGACATCCATCACAGGGTCATAGCAATATAGCCAGGGGACATATTCTCCATTGTGTACACCCCCTGTGAATGAAACATATACATACCAGTCATGAAAGGGCGTTGGCACTGAACTTTGTAACAGAAAGTAGAGGAATGACTTGCCTGAAATGTATATTTTCCCATTGTGCACTGCTCCTGCGTGAGCCGCCAGAGGCTGAGGCAAAGAGGACACATAACGCCATTCGTTTGTTTCTAGGTTATAGCACTCCACGCTGGACAAATAGCCGGTTTCGTTCCTTCCACCAATAACGTATAAATGCTTGTCCAACCGACATGCATAGAAACTGGCTCTTCTACAATGAAAACAACAACCCGCCGTAAATTGCAAAAGGAGCTCAGTCAGGCCAAGGAGGTACATCCTGCTTTAGAAAGGGTTGCAGGAACTTGGAAATCACACACACAGCTCCCTTCTAAATCTGAGACCTTTACAGTAATCATATGCATTGCCCACTCTGGTTAACATTTTTGGTATTAAAGTAACAATAGAGGAGAAATTCACCAACTCTGTTTCAGCTCCTTTTATCTTGCTTTTTGATACACCATTAAAGTTGTTCACTAATGTTTGGGGTATTTGGTACCTTGTAAGGATATCACAGCTCAGTAAGACAAAGTGAAAAATGAGGTAGATAATGTAACAATAATAAATTATCTTGACATTCACTTTTTTCATGGTCCTTCAAGGGTCATTGTTCCCAATTTATAAGAGAACTACATCATCAAAATTTTTCTTCAATTATCATTTTTTTTCCTTCTCAGTACTACTGCAAATAGAGTAACTTTTGTGAACTGAATTTAGTGTTGAAATTTTGCTCTTACATAACCTATTGTAGGAATTTTAGTGATACGGTTTTTGGTTTTGGTTGTTGCTTTTTACAAAGCTATGGGCTATTTTTTAGTCTCTTTTCCAGAGAGGCAATTTATTAAATTTTCCCATTATGCCTTCAAGGGCCAAAGACACCAGCTGTACTGAAAGGACCAATTCTGAGGTAAACCGTAAGATAGGAGTGAGATATTGAGGACCTGAATTAGAGTTTTATGGAAGACCTACAAGGGCTGATGCCAAAGATATTTTAAAGGAAGATATAAGACTTGGGAACTAGTAAGACATGAGAGCTGAGGGAGAACACATGTTCAAAGGGAACTCAAAAATTTGGAGGATGACTAGGTTGATATGTTGAGAAAGTCCTTGACCCTTCGCTTCTTTTATCTCGTTGCTGCTACTGGAATAATATACTTTATGGGGATAACACATGGTCCAATACTGAGTAAGTACAGTGTTTAAGTGCCAAGCCCCTCAGAGAATATAATTTGTTTGATGACTGTATGGTCTTCATAAAAATTAGTGCCAAGACTCTTGGGCAATGTGAGTAGCAAGATCAAGAGTCCCTAGAGGTTTTTATCAGGAGATTTTCCAAGTTGTGTTTACAAAGTGCCAAAACCTCTGGGAAGCAGTATACAGCATCTTGATTAACAGTTTAGTCTCTGGAAGAGATTGCTGGCTACATGATTTATTGGATGTGTGACCTTTGACATGTGCCTCAACCCCTCTCGGCCTTGGATTGCTCATCTGTAACAGGGGGATGTTAATGGTACCTTCCTTACAGGGTTATTTGCAAATACATATGTAAAGTGCTATCATAGTGTCTAGCATTTTGTTCATGCTTTGGAACCATCATTACCCAGATAAAAAAAGTTTTTAGGGGCGCCTGGGTGGCTCAGTCATTAAGCGTCTGCCTTCGGCTCAGGTCATGATCCCAGGGTCCTGGGATCGAGCCCCGCATCGGGCTCCGTGTTCAGCAGGAAGCCTGCTTCTCCCTCTCCCACTCCCCCTGCTTGTGTTCCCTCTTTTGCTGTGTCTCTCTCTGTCAAATAAATAAATAAAATCTTTAAAAAAAAAGTTTTTTAAAAATCAGCCATTACCCAGATAAAAAAGTTTTTAAAAATCAGCCATCAAGATGTTTGGAAGGAAACTTTTCCTAGTAATATTGTAAAAGACAGTTAAATTCTTTGTTTGTTTAGGTAATTTATTACTATATCGGTAATGGTATAGATGGTGATGTATTCGGTTTGTTTTAATTTTTTCCAGCTTTATTGAGGGATAATTGACAAATAAAATTGTAATATATTTAAAGTTACACTGCAGTGATTTGATATATGCATACATTGTGGAAGGAGTCCCACAATCAAGTGAATTAACACATCCATCACCTCACATAGCTACCTTTTTTTTTTTTTTTTGGTGAGAACACTTAAGATCTACTCTCTTAGCAAATTTTAAGTATACACTACAATATTAACTATAATCATCATATTATACATTAGATACTTGGGACTTTTTCATCTTATAACTGAAAGTATGTACCTTTTGACCAAGCTCTCATTTCCCCCATCCCCTAGCCCCTAGCAACCACCATTCATTCTGCTTCTGTAATTTTGACTTTTTTTTTTTTTTTAGATTCCACATATAAGTTTGGAGAAAGGTATTTGGAAGAAGCTTTTAGTTGGATTATCAGAGCAATCATTAATTTAAAAATTTTGAGATTTCCTGTTACAGAGAAGTAAAAACCCATTTAAATATAATACTAGTTATAATATAGGTTAAATATAATATTAGGTTATAAATATTAGGTTAAAAACAGTTGCAAAATTAAGTGCCCACAGATGTCCATTGCTTCCTTCTATTTCTCTAACCAGATTTCAGTTGTTCTCTTATGGAATATGATAGGGTCACGGTTGTCTTACAAGTGCTTTTATCTTCTCAGTTAAAATGTTTCATTGGAAAGAGACATGTCTACAAGAATAGACCAAAGGAACACAAATATTTCTTTGCAATGTGGACACAAGAGTAAGTCAGTATCCCTCTTCCATATGAGCATTCTATAACAAGTCTTAGAGCCTCTGAAATAATTTTACTAATGGGCCATCTTTAAATAATTTGGATTATGTGGGCTGTAAGGTGTTGCATTCTTGCATGCGCTATATACTGGTCTAGAAGAGAAAATGCCTGTTACTCATGACAAGTATGAAAACCCTCCATTAAATAAGTTTAGATAATGGAGAATAAGAGCAAGATCTCTTCATGGTAGTGTGAACTCCTTTCATCCTAGTCTAAATTTCAGTTTTCTCACTTTGTCTGTCCTGGTTCCTTCCTACCTCAGTGACACTGAGTGAGCCTGTCAGAACTTGCTCTCTTTTTAGCCAAGATTTTCTTAATTTGGATGCTTCATGTGTACTCCTAGCTTTATCCACACAGTGTCACTGTTAGGATCTAAATGGAAAAAAAAAATCAGTAGGTTTCACTTCCTGACTAAAAGGGCATTTTTATGTAGAAATTCCAATAGTGAAGACTCTGAGCCTAGGACTTATCCCCTTGCATGCCCAAAGTGAGAATTCATGAAATGCATTATAGAAGCACTGGATAGTTAATGGTCTGTCAGCAACTGTGAACCTTTGCTCCAGGCTAAAATTTTACCATACCAGGTCTCTCTTGGGAGTGCTCCCTGCCCACCCCCCACCTCATGAAGAACCACACAGGATTAAGCTCTCCGGGGTTTTTTTTGGAAAAGTAAATTCCAGATTACTGAAGATTTTTACATAGGATTACACTATTTGTATTTCCAATTATTCATCTCTCTCCTCAAGCCCCTCCTCCCCCAACGCCAGAGGCAATATTCAACGCATTGTGGTAAGTTAAAAGGAGACTACCAGCAACTTCTACAAACATACTTTGAACCCTGCATATTGTACAGGTCTTTACTAGTTCTGACCCTTAGGGTGGTCAGTTTATATACTAAAGCATGAGACTGAATTACTAGAACCTTAGCTCAATTCTTGACTTTCACCATCAGATTCAAATGGCAACAGATTTTTCAAATAGAATTTCACGTTGTTTCTTGTAAAGTTTCTAGAAACAAAATATTTAAATTTGGAAACAATTTTTTATGTATTTCCTTCTAGCTTTTCTCTTACTCTGTGAAATATGAACTTTGTTGTTAGTGCTCTCCAAACTGCTTTTTCTTTTTCATCTTTTTTTTTTTTCCTACACTAGCTAGGAGGTAAGATCTCCATATAAATAATACCCAAAATGTTTATTTTTACTGGAAAATAATGTAAAGTCATCAAAGCGTTTCTATTGATCCTAGTTTCAACTTTTAACCTCTTTTCACTGAAGAATCAAATCCTACATGAGACCAAAATAACTCAGTAGCATTACATTTAAATGTATATTTTCCTGCAATTATTTTACAGGTAGCAGGGATACAATTCGCGAGTTAGTTTTGAGTAAACCTAGAGGCAGTGTGCCCATTGCCCTGTTGGACGGGGTGGGAGGGGCATATTCTGCACTTTTATTATAGCACGCCTTAGGAAGCTCTGATTAGGTAAGATATCCTAGGAGTCTGTCCAGCCAGCTCTAAGAGTGGGTTACCCCAGAGGTGGTTTTCAACATGTTTCTATTATTCTCAGTTTGGTAATTTCTCAGCATAACCATTTCTCCTCGGTTTGTTAGCAACTAATGGAAGGAGGGAGGTGGGGCAAGTTCTGGTGAGCCTGATTCATGATCTATACAATGCAGAATTAACTCATTGAAATGTTTCAAGAGACTTCTTTTTGGATCTGAAGGGTGTCTCATATATTTTCTTCTTCTTCGTTTAATCACCAATTAAGCCACGCCGGTCACTGATCACACTTGCTACTTAGAATGGAGGCTTGGCAATGACAGAAAAATTTCATTTTAAGTTATGGATTGCTGCCTGGATCAACCAGCGCATAGGAGATCTGGAGCTAGAAGATTGACTGGGCATTTGTGAGATCTGCCTTTTCCCGCTCAGCTCTGTAAGGAGCTCTTTATTTGGTCTACCGAGTTGATTGTTCTAAATCTAAAAAAAAACTTCTCTTACTAGGGACCTGACATGATATACCATAATGACTTAGAAAGAAACGTTAAACAGTCCATCCTGTCAACGGTGGCTGCCGGGCGCTGGCAGACCATGGCAGGTCTTTTTATCAGGTCAATGAGCTGCTAAAAATTGTCTAAGTAGGACCCCGCCATGATAGGCCATAGTGCCTCAGAGGAAGTCATTATAGAATATCAAGTAAACAATACACATTTAGGAAAATTACTAATTAGGTTTTGCAGCAATACTTCTCATCCTTAGGGGCTCTACAGTGAGATAATTGACCGCGACGTGAGTTATGCCTCCCAAACTGAAGGCGTGAAGGTTAATTATCATGGTGTGCAGCCCCCAGCAAAGGGGACCGTGGTGATGAGATGCTGCCATTTCAAACATATTGCTGATATTTATTTAAAAAAAATATTTTTTTTAAAGTAAAACTTCTTGGAATGGTTTTGATTAAAGGGTAAAGTGATGCAGCCACAATAAGAGCAACCAAGAAATAACCCCAAAGGGAGAGAAACAAGGCTCAATGGAGAAAGACATCAGGAGGCTACCGTGCATACAGGTATGTGCAAGACGGGGGGCGGAGAAGTGTGTCAGGATATTAGCTGACTTAGAATTATTCCTCGAGGTACCTTTGAACTACACATTCCTGAAAGTGTCTGTGGTCCTTATATTGTGCCTCATCATTTCCAATGTATAGTTTTTAGTCTCCCAAAAGGCGGTTTTAATATATTTATAGGGAACAGAGCATTAGATACAGAGTTTTCTCCTAGCATTGCTACAGTAATGCACATTTTTGAATCAATGATATTACCTGAGAACTTCCTGTTCACTTGGAATTTATGATAAGGATCTAAGTTGATCTTAGTGTGATCTAACTGAATGTTTATAAAAGAGATGTTAAGGTGAAGAGTCATGAGGGAAACAGGAAAGAAAATTATTTCTTCAATAATTCAGTTGAGAAGAAATAAGTTGCAGCTTATTGTTATTATATTGGATACTTCGCTCGAGAGGATGCTGAAGTATTATTTGAAAAGAATCGAGGGCTCAAAATTTATTTTTTTTAAAAGATTTTATTTATTTATTTGACAGACAGAGCCAGAGAGCACAAGCAGAGGGGAATGGCAGAGGGAGAGGGAGAAGCAGGCGCCCTGCTTAGGGAGCCCAATGCGGGGCTCGATCCCAGGACCCTGGGATCATGACCTGAGCCGAAGGCAGGTGCTTAACCGACTGAGCCACCCAGGCGCCCTGAGTGCTCAAAATTTAGCATGGGAATTTGCATGTGCATGTTAAGATGTGGCCTCCTGTAGGTAACAGCAGGAGAGGCAAAATCTGTATGAATGTAGTAGCCACTTACCCCTTGGCAGCTGGGAGACAGGGGAGAGATAAACACCAAGTACATAAAAAACCGAGATGACAGCTTGCAAGACTTTTTTTTTTTTAAAGCTAACAAAGAACCTCTTCTTGAATGTATGATGGGAGGATAGTTGAGAGGGCAAGTGTCAAGGATTTGAGTTAGTGAGACTGGAAAATTTAATACTTGCAATTTCTGCATCAAAATGGATACCACTGTAAGAATGGTGTTTTATATTTATATATAGGATTTAAGTACATTACCACTGAGAAAAGTGGGAGGGGCGGTGAGATTTTAGCTCCACTTGCCAAAAAGCCAAAGCAATGTAGTAACGGAAGACAAGTCATACAATTTTTTTCTTCCTCTGTTAGAACCAATAATTGACTTTTTGATTATTTTTCTCCATTGAGTTAACAAAGTAGTTATTCTAAATTAGCCAGGCCAAATTTTGCATTTTTTCATTGGCTCCGTTTAGCATAATTTATCACAGAAAACCATTCAGCATCCACGCTTCCTGCAAAGCAGCCACGAATGTTTCAGACATATGAAATAAACACTTACCTTTCTTGCATGGGTGGAAGTTGTATCCAGCTATTAAATCGAGGATCATATCGGCTGACAAAATTTGTACTGTGTTTTCCTGTAAAAATATATTTGAGACATTTAAAACTTAGATTCCTTTGTTGTTTTGAACATTTAATAGTGTTTATAAGATGTCTCTGTTCTCAGGTGTAACACAGAGATGAATTAAGTTGGAGGGACTATCTAACACAGTCTGAGAAGCAGGAAGTCCGTGGAAAAATAAATGTGCCGCCTCAACTATTTTTCCTTTTTCCTTCTCTTATCCTCCATTTTCCTTTTCTTTCTTTCTTTTCTTTCTTCTTTCTCTTTTCTTTCTTCTTTCTTTTCTTTCTTTCTTTCTCTCTCTCTCTCTCTCTTTCCTTTTTTTTTTGGAAGGAGTCAGAATAAAACAAATCAACCATGAGAAGAAAAGCAAGTATGGTTTATCAAACCAGTTTTACCACAAAGTTAGGGGACAAATTTCTGGGTTTTGGTAATTTTTGTGCTTTAAAAACATGAAGTTATTGTCTGTAAATAATCAGTTCCAGAGACCACCTTGTGTGATATCTCTGGTGAGAGCCCTTTTTTAGCTGTGGTTGAGTCAGCTCTCTCCCCATGGAAATCACAGCAATCACTATAGTAAGAGTTTGCCTTAGGAAATCAGGTTTAGCCTGTGCATGTCACGTGAGTTCTGTGTGTGGGTTCGGGCGGAAGCACAGTTAAAGGCACATGTGCTCAAATGGGAAACAGGAGTCCTCAGAGCTGGTGAGCCCTTATCCCCTCTGTTGAGCCTCGGAAGCACAGCGGTGCCTCCGAGGCATTAAAATGAATTTTATTTGGGGCGCCTGAGTGGCTCAGTCGTTAAGCGTCTGCCTTCAGCTCAGGTCATGGTCCCGGGGTCCTGGGATCGAGCCCCGCATCGGGCTCCCTGCTTGGCGGGAAGCCTGCTTCTCCCTTTGCCTGCCGCTCCCCCTGCTTGTGTTCCCTCTCTCGCTGTCTCTCTCTCTGTCAAATAAATAATAAAAATTTAAAAAAAAAAAATGAATTTTATTTTTCATACTGACTGACACCAAAGCAAGAAATGGAAACAAAAGAGTGCCTTCATTTTCTGTGTAGTGCCTGAGATGATAGTCATCTCTAAAAGCACTTGAAGTTTTAACTCTGAAAGTCTGTTTTTGTTCATATATGTGTAACTAAACATTGAAATACAGGTACCAAACTCTGCCACAGGAATAGATAGATAAGGGTGTGTGTGTGTGTGTGTGTGTGTGTGTGTGTGTGTGTATGTACATGCTCACACAGGCATGTATATCCAACACAATTATTAATTGCATAAATATATTGAGTATTTATTATATGTCTTACGTGTTCTAGGTTCTGAGAACATATTGGTAAGCAAGAAAGGAAAAGTCCCTGTTCTTGTGAATGAATAAAGAAATACATATTTTCAAGTAGAGATGAATGCTATAAAGAAAAATAAAGCAGGGACTGAGAGCGGGGAGGCTAGTTTAAATAGAATTGTTCCCTGCCTACAGATGTGTCCTCTGCCAGCCGTGCAAATATCTGCCGAATGAACCTCTCACATAGTGGGCCAGGTGAGTAGAAAGTCCCTGCGGTTGGCCAGGAGTTTAAAACCAGCAAAATGCTGGGGTGACTTGAACAGAAGTCAGAGGCATAACAAGGTCCAAATCCGGTGAGCCTTGTGTACAATGGTGCCTTCTGTTACAAGAACAGTAGGAGGCCACTGGAAGGTTTTGAGCAAATGAGGAACATGGCCTAATTTCTCTCTTACAGAGGTCACTCTGGCTGTTGTGTGAAGAACAGACTATAGAGGGGCCACTCTGGGAGCAGGGGAGCTGTCAGGAAGCCATTATAACAGTCAAGGCAAGAGCTGATGGTGGTTTGAATGAAGGTGGAGACATTCAGATACGGCCAAGTTTGGGATCTATTGTCCGGGCATAGCCGATAACATTTTCAGATAGATTCAATGTTGGTATGAGAAAAAGTAAGTAATTAAGGATGGCTGCCAGATTTTTAGCCTGAGTAACTAGATGGAAGGTCATGAAATTTGCTGAAGTAGGGAAGACCAGGCAAGAGCAGTGTGGGGATTGGTAAGAGAAACCGCTAGTTCTGTTTTGGACTTAACCTTGAGAGGACTACAGGATCTCAAAGTGGAAGTATGTGGTAGGCCACTGGCTAACTGAGGCTGCAGAAGCAAACTTTAGAGTCATTGATCTAGAGATATTATTTAAAATCATAGAACAAAATGAAACCCTTTAGGCAGAAGGTATGGACATGAAAGAAAATGGGTCCTGGGATTGAGCCCTAGAATACAAAAAGAAAAACCAGCAAAGGAAAGGAATTGTCAGAGAGAGGAGGAAAAGTACGATATTTTGGAAACCATGTCAAAGAGTGCTTCAAAAAGACAAGTGAACAACTGAAAATTGACTGTAGGATTTGGCAACATGGAGGCTGGTGGTGGCCTTGATAAGTGTTGATTCAGTAGACACATAGGGACTCCTCAAGACAGACTAAGATCTAAGAGAACAGATGCAAGAGGAAGGCAATGCTTCTTAGGACTTTTGTCACAAAAAGGAAAAGATGATAGCTGGAGGATGCAGCATTAAGAGAAGGTTTTGCTTGGTAGTTTGGTTGTGTTTTTAAGTCCAGAAGTACCGGAAAGTCCTTGAGCAGGCAAGTGAGAATGAGAAATAGGCCTTAGATTGGAGCAGAAATAGGAGGGAAGAGAAAATAATAGGAGGGAAGAGAAAATACATGGGTAGCAATGGAGATAAGTGGCACTAGACTCGGTTGTGGCAAGATGAAGATTTTATCTTCTGATTGCTTCTATTCTCAACAAACTATGAAGCAAGGCCATCAGCTGAGAGCGAGGAGGGAGGTTTTGGAGAAAGAGGCATTTGAGGAGAGAGAAAGCATGAGATAGCTAACTTGGAGGGTGGGAGAGTACACTGACCAGGGAAATTTAGTGGGGTTGGCTAGTAGCCAGTATTCTCCATCCACATTTAGTCACTCAGGTACAGGGAGGAGGAGGAAGAGTGTTGGGCTTAACCAGGGCCAGAGCTTTACCAGGCAGGCATAATGGAAGGAAAGATGGACACAAGGGCTGCAGGTATATGCACTAATGTGATTACAGGGATGGGCAACATAAGGCCAGTGAGGAGGGAAGTAAGGATATCAGTGAGAAAGTATTAGGGGAGAGTGAAGAAGGTGCCATGTCCGGGATGAGTAGAGAGCTGCCACATAAAGGGGCAACGGGTGGTAAAACCTGACGACATCCTTTAAAGTGGTGGGTTTTAAGGTTGTGGGAGGGACAACAAAGAGGTAATAGGAATCTACCTGCCTCCAATAATGTGAAGTTCTGGGTCAGGCTGGGGAGCAGAACCCAGTGCCCATTAGAGAGGCTGGCTGGGAGAACAGTACTCTCATAAGATTGCCAGGTTTTGACTAGAAGAGAATGGAGGTGACCATTCAGAAGAGAGTTTAAGGATTCTGGGGGTTTTGTGGATGTGATATCATTGAGTTCCAAGGACCTTGTGGAAGGGTCTGGATGGTGTGATTGGGTGGTAAGTTAAATTTTATTTGGGGGTATACAGTAAGAGTTAAGAGTTCCAAGAGTGAGAATGACTCAAAAGACTTGGATTCCACAAAGGGAGGCTCCAACTCAAGGAAGGATTACATCTAGAGTTGGTTTATAAGGGAGTTTTTGTAGAATTTGCAATCATTTCACTCTAGAAAAAAAAATATTCTTGATAGGTTCCAAGGTTAATTCCCCAAAGCACCTGAAGATGAATGTTGTTAATAGGAATGTAGAGCATACTTGCCATATATAAGAATGTTTCTCTATGAAGTTTGGTTTAGAATTTTCATTTGGAGGAAGACATCTGCCTCCTTTCAGGAATGGGGCAGAGTGCCTCCTGGTAGAAATGAGCTATGTTTGCTTTGGTTGTATTGGTAGCGGCCTTCACTCATAGAAAAGGCTAAGCAGGGATCGGTGTGATACTGACAGAAGATGAAGAAAGACTTTCCAGGGGCAGGGTCAATGGTGTGAAAGAGCGGTGAGGACCGAGGACTGGGGAGAGAAAAAGAAGGAGGGCATTCTGGAGTTAGCAAAGGATGTGTGGAGGGGATAATGAACCTCAGAAGAAATGAGTGTGGTGGCAAGAGGAAGATGAGCTAAAAAGGAGTTATTTGTTCCTTCCTTGTGGCTTCTTTTGGGACTTTACCAGCAGCTTGAGAGTGGTGGCCATATGCAATGGGATTTTGGATTACCCCACTCCTTTAGTTTCTTCTCATCTTTTCCATTTTTTCCTAACTCTTCCCCAATTTCTTCTCTTTGTGTGACGATGTCCTATCACCTGACACCATTGTTGACTATCCCTTAAGTGATAGGTAAATGGAGCATGGGGTGGCAGTTTTCAGCCGGTGGTGAAAGGGAAGAATGGGGAAGGGAAGGAAGTCTCCTCCAGGCAGTGTTTTTGGGAGTCAGTCATCAGGAAGGACAAATGTAAATCGGTTTTCTGTAAGCTGGGGCACTGACAGAATATATGCATATGTATTAGAATATTATAATGCATTCCAATCACTAATGACATGAAGGGAGTTAATAGGATTTAATATCTATAGCTGACGAGAAAAGCAATGTATGTGTCCTGTTTAAATTTCCAGTAAGTAATATGTTTTATGATTTCAAATTTTGGTCTTGTAATCAAGATAATAGATAAATGAAATTATATTTGTATTTTATGAGTACATACATGTTTTATGAGCATGTATTAAAATTTACAATTTTGTATTTCATTCAAAGACATGCATCTCAGGCATCATTTTCAGAAGAACTGAAGTTTAACTTAAGATTTCGTCTTTGGAACTGACATATCCAAAGCATTTGAATTCATGGATTTTTAATTTTTCCTCCCTGGTAGCAATGAAATTAAAGTTATACATTATCATAGGATTGCTATTCTTTATAAGTTTTGGTATTAACTGCTTACTTTTTAATTGCATAATTGTATTATAATATGAAAATCCCATATTTTTGAGATGATTGAGTCCCTGCATGGTTTTCTAAATGAGAAGTGATGAAGAGTTCCTTGGGAATAAGAGCCACTTTCCACTGTGATACAATACTGACTTAATTTCACAAGATCAAAGGCAAAAACATGATTGTTATTTAGTATCTAACAAAATACATATGTCTGCGTGAGGGGGAAACGTTATACAATGGTTCAACACCAGGGCAGACAGACCTAGGTTGGAATCAGCCCATCTTTGTGCAAGCTGCGTGTCCTGGCAAGTTCTTTCACCTCTTCGGGCTTGGACTCCTCATAGTAAAACTAGAACAATCATGCAACAGGCCTCCCAGGATGGTTGTGAGGATTAAGTAAAATTATGCAGGTGAGTGCTTAGCGAATTCCTGGGAAATAATTAGTACTCAATAAATACTACCGTTCATGGTAAAAAAAGGGGTGTGTGTGTGTGTGTGTGTGTGTGTGTGTGTGTGTGTGTGTCAGGTATGGTTGACCAGATGGTTGGAATATGAAGCTACATGGAAAATGTCTAAAGGATTGTGGTAGAGGTGTGTTTGGTACCTAGCCCAGATACCTTTACCAGACTGGTGCTGTGCTCCCCAGGTTGCTCACTGTCATAGCCGCTCCCTCTCTGGGGAACTGCTCTCTGCTGTACAGGCCATATCCCTGCCCACCCTCCCCCTGACCTGGGGGAAGGCCTCAGCCAATGACTGAGTGATTGACCCAGGCGTACAGAAGACTGGCCGGCCTGCCTCCTGATGGGACCAATTCTCCTCTCTTTAGGAGAGCTGAATCAGTGGCTTATCAGCATTTGCCCACATCTATTCAAATGGCTTCACGTGCCAAACACGTCAGGGACAGAATGACTCAGCTTTGCGGGTAGGACTCCCACAGCTCTAAAAGGGGGTCCAACAGAAAAAGAGTTAGCTGCCAGGGCCAAATTGAGAGTAAACGTAAAATTAAAGTTTTACTAAAATTCAATTCTGAGCCTCCTGGTGGCTCAAGCAAAAGAAGAGAGACACGTTAAATCACACAAATGTATCAGTGGCAGTTGTCCAAAGCACACAATGCCTCAGTGCTACGGTCTGGCAAGAATTTGTCACATAGCTCTTCACATGGGGCATGCTGAGTAGTGACAGCGACAGGTGTCTCTGCAGTAAATGCAACACTGTTTTCTATAGTCTTTTGTTGCGGCATATTCATTGAGGGCTTTCAACTGAATTCCTGTTCCTCTGAGGGGTGGGGGAAGGCAAATCGGTGCGGTCCAATGGCACAGTTTTTTGGGAGTCTGAATCAGTTCGGAGATAAAACCTTGACTCTCTAGACCAGACAAAGGAATACGCCCATTATGCTCTTCCCTAGCCACCCTCCCCCACCCAATCTCTCAGCTATGCTTGATAAGACGACGGGGAACAGTAAGCAGATGTAGGTTATTCTGAGGGGGCATAACCCTGGGAGCAGGTTTTCTGTGTCGCTGAAAAGGTCTGTCTCAGAGGCATGGGAAGTTCATGGTGTTTTGTGAACACCAAGTGGTGTCGCACCAGGACTGGCATTTTAACAGGGGCCTGCTCCACCTGGGACGGGAGGCGGGCTAGGAGAGTATGGGCCCCAGAAACAGGACTTTGCAGCCTTCTCTTGTCGCGTGTGAGTTCTAATCTGGCCTTCGAAAAGACTGCTCGGCAGAGTTTTTGCTTAGATAAACCTGATGGCTGTGCCCTGTTCACTTACAAAGGCTCTATTCAGTTCAGATCGCTTTGGAGGGAGAACAGGTTAAGCAGTAAATGGGGAGCTTACAGTGGATTGTACATCTGCCAGCATTTTTTGGGGACACATCAAGTCTGTCACTGCAAAGGTAAGTTAGAGGAGACATATTAACTATCCCTTTTTTTTTTTTTTTAAAGATTTTATTTATTTATTTGAGACAGAGAGAATGAGATACAGAGAGCACGAGAGGGAGGAGGGTCAGAGGGAGAAGCAGACTCCCTGCCGAGCAGGGAGCCCGATGCGGGACTCGATCCCGGGACTCCAGGATCAGGACCTGAGTCGAAGGCAGTCGCTTAACCAACTGAGCCACCCAGGCGCCCTTAACTATCCCTTTTGTTCCTGTTCTAAACCTGTTTCTCACAAAGCTCAGGAACTGTCCGCTGTGGAACGCTCAAGGATTGGAACCAACAAAGCTGCAGGTTTTGAGAAAGAACGTCCTGCTCTCCTCAAAGAAGTGTTTTTGGAGGTTGGCCTGGGTTGTTTTCCTGGAAGATTTTCTAGAGTGAACAGATGTAACAATTTTCTATAATTTGCCTTGGTGCAGATGCTGAAAGAGAGCAGTCACAATAAAATATATGCAGTATATGTAATTTCACTTGGATGTTCTGGGGTTTTAGAGTAAAAATGTGTACCTGCAAGCTGTTTTATGGTTTCTCGGTCGTTATGATCTTGTTACACAGAAGGCTACAACCGCAACTCCTCCTTCATGTGCAAGCACTCCAAAAATATCTTGATAGTTTTGCGTATTCTGCAAGGCACAGTGTTCTCCCCATGTTGGCTTGGGAAGTGCGTTAAAATGTTCAATTTCCCTTTGCGGTAAATTTCTGAAGTAATCACATCAACAGGGAAGGTGGTGGATAGTCTTCGAAAGGAGCCCTTGCAAAAGGTGCAGCCACCCGAGTGGGTCTCAACAAAAGCTGCAAAGGAACTTCAACTGGGGATATGAGTTGTGACGGCAGATAAAGCTTATTTATGGAAACTGCCTTATTGTACTGATAAAATGGGAGAAAAGTGGTGGGGAAGGTGGTGAGGATTCTTAATAGCTGCAGCTTGCTACCTGCCTCTAGGGAGTCTGTGCTTACGCTCGTGGCATTCCTCAGGGGATGGATAAGGAGAGGGGCTGGGGCATCACTGCGAAGCCAAATCCCCAGACAGTCAATGAGCGAATGCTCTGCTGCGTGCGTCCTCTGCCGGCTCAATGGTTGACCCTCCCTCCAATTGTCAGCCCAATTTACCGACTGTTTCATTTGTCCCTGTGCACAGACATACATTTTCCACAGTGATTACGAAACGGGCTGCTACCGGCGGCGCCTTCCACAACACACATACTTGTTGAGTTCAATAGTTACCATTGGGGTTCCATTGGTCCTCTCCACCCAGCACAAACAAGAAGTTTTCTACCTCCACAACGCAGTGGTGGGCACTGTTGTACGGCATAACTGGAATTGAGGGGGGAAGAAAAAGACGCGTGAAATTCTTCATCTTAGGACTTGATACCTTGGCTCCCTGGTTATTTGCTTCCACCAAAGGGCATAACATGTGAGAGTAAGTCGGAAGGAAGAAGAGAGCATAAGCAGCAGAGCGGGGCACCCACCCATCCACAGTGGCTCAGCCGTGTGTTCCCAGCAATCTCAAACCCAACCCCTTTTGACTAATTTTACATAATATTATTCCGCAAATTAGTCAAGGACAACCTGTCATGCTGCTTTCGATTCTTAAGTTCTCCTCACCGGCCTGATGATGGGGATCGCATTCTAAAGCAATGATGGATCCTCCCAAATGGTCAGGGCTGGGGGTTACTGCTTGGAAGAAATAACCCTGCATACACTTGGAGCCATGAAGATGCTCTGCCCAAACTTGGTTTGCTGGCAATCTTTCCATAAACAGACTCGGGGTGCTTGGGAGCTTTCTATTCCACAGCAATGAGCAAGCTGAATTTCCATACAGTTTTAAGTTTTTAAATTAAGGTCCTGCTGATTTAATGCCTTCTCCAAATGTATACGCTTAATCTCCTGTACAATATCATTAGCAGCACACTCACACATTTCCTATCTATCTGCTTAGGAGCTCTTCTGGAACAAAGATAAAAACCGTCAGGAACATCACAAACATCCATTCCCTTGGTCTCGCCCTTCCCGCCCCCCCCCTCCCGGCCCCAGTGTGGTGGCTGCGAGGAGGGCGTGTTCTTTAGAAACCCACCAAAGCCAGGTTTCTCTGTATTTGTCTGTTCTCATTTACATTTTCTTTCGGGGACACGCACAGTGTGAGACTAGGACAGCCCTGTCACCCCATGTGCCGTGCAGTGCTGGTCTCTGCTATTATCATATCATATGGCAAATGTAAACTCACACAGAATTAGTTATCGTATCACATGCGGTGGTTTGGACCCAGTGACACCAGTAGGAAAAATGATGTCCTTGTTCAGCTCATCATATGGGCACCTTAAATCTAGGTGAGGACAAATGGGGAGGTGATGTGCATGTTCAGGCAGGGAACTTATTGCTTGACACGGATCAACAGAGCACTTAAGAAACCAGTGCAGTGGGAAATCAATATGAGTCAGGGCCAGCTCTTTGTGCTCTTTTGCCAATGCCGGAAGAGAGAGAGCCTATCTTATGGCCAACTTATTTTGGATGATATATATCTCTCATTTCATTTTGTTTTTCCTCTCTTTTATTTTTCTCAGAATGCACTTATGCTGGCTAAGATATGTAAATACAATGAATAGCTTTGGAATCTCTAACATAGCTTCTGAAAGAGCAAATCAGATCATTTAAGCTTCTTACTAAAGGATTTTAGGAGTTTGGGTTATTTTATTAGTTACTTATTTTTTACTATGAATATTCATTGTTTTTGAACTTATATCTATAATGCCAAAAGGCCTTGGTACAGAAATCCCTGATTTCTGTGATAATGTGGAAATTGGATGTGGATTTGTGCGGTCCGTGGATTTGTGTGTGGTCCGTTAATTAGGTCACTGACTTAGGGAATCATCCTGGGGATGTCCTTTTGCCCCTTAACCCTCAGTTATCTTTTTGGAAAATGCTTTTAACCATACGGCTCTGCAGAGATACCATATAGCTTCTCAGAATCCAGTGGGGCAGAATATATGTTGAGTTCGCCGACCAACTAAGATGGAATAGGTTTTGAACATTAAAAAAAATATATCGTTGTTTAGATTATGATGCTAGTTCCAAAATAGCAAACGGAAAACTATGCTACTCATATGTGATGTATATTGTGTATATTGTGAGCAGTCTGGTGCTACCCCAGTTCATCATCATGTCATCTGGGCAGTGTAAGCTCACAGTGTTGGTTATCATCTGCATGCGTCTATTCACATGGGATGCGAGCACAGGAATAGAGGCTGTAGCCAACTTACGTTATGACTTCCACTCTTCGGATATTTAAATTTTTGGTCAGCTCAGTGCCCAAACCTTATAGGTAATGAAAACCTGTATTAGCATCTTTTTAACTAGAGGTCCAGTTTGATCATAAAGCGCAATCTCTGAAAATATAACAACACTTGCGTTTTGTTCTTGCCATTTATTTGCTCCCATTCAGGCAAGCAGAAATTAAGTGAAGGAAATAATACATGATTTATTCTTAAGCCTCTTTTTCATTTGATTACCCCTATTGTTATGCTTTATGCAAACAAATGAAACTATTGCCCTAAACTATCCAAACCTTCAAAATAAGAGAGAAGCTCTTTGAAGTCCTAATATAAAGGCTACTTGAAGGCATTCCCATTTTTTACTCTTGTTTTTAAACCTCCTGTGCTATATTTCTTGGCTGAGTATTCTAGTATTCTCATTCCTGAATTACTGTCTTTTCTAAATTATTACCATGAATCGAGAGGCTATAAATACACACAAATAACTCTTTGAAATTATTCTGAATGTGAAACGTTCCAAATTTATTAGAAAAAATCTATATTAAATCAATGTTCGAGTTTTGCAAAAGACCTAATTTGACTTCTGATTAAACCTGAAGCAAAGCAAAATAAATAGGGCAGTGAGCGAGAGCACACATCTGTCTAAAATGGCACTGGGTACTGCACGTATCGATTACCTTTTAAATAACAAGGGATACATGCCTGACCCTTTCCAGCATTCTTGAGAGGTGGACGCCGGCCTTGCCCTCACAGGCAGGTATTGGAGGAGAAGTTTGTACTCGTGTTCATATATAGCCCAGTGCGAGTTTTAAGCGTGTCAGTCAGTGAGTTAGAGGGAAAGGGTAAAGAGAAGCTAATCAGGATGAAATGAGATTAAAGGCTGTCTAATTTTACAGCAACTGTGATCCATCAGCCACTGTGAAAGTGACAGTGGAAATGAATGATGGAGACAGACAGGTGGGGCTGTACATTTCACTGATTTATCCTCAAATGCACTGGGCCTTATTTTATTGAGTGAACATGACCGCATTTATCATGACTGTCATCTAAACCCACTTCCCTCCATTTAAAAAGGTCACTTTACTCAGAGGGAGTAGGAAAGAGGCACTTTCAAATCAGATTTAAAATCTCATAACACGTGTTTATAAGGCCTTTGTGAGAATTCTAAACTTTACTAAACAAAGTAGATGTGCCAGAAGGAAAGGCTGGGGTGGGGGGCAGGGAAGCCAGAAAACTGAAAAAGAAGAAACCTTTGGTCACCTAAGGGAACACATTCATTTAGTCTCTGAATCAGAAGCAATTTGTACCATGTTTCCCTTTCCCGCCCCAAACACCTGATATTCTATTCTAGTCTAGGACGTTAAATAAAACATTTACATTTAGTATTTTTAATTAAGAAAGTGGGAAGCAAGTAACACTATAAAATAAACTTGGACATGATATTAAGTCACAGTATTTACTCTGCAGAATGACTAATCATCACACACTCAAGAGATGTTAGCAATTGTTATAAGCGGCCCAATTTACTTATATACCTGTTAATTGTTTTCTCCTAAGTTTAAGGCCACACAAAAAAATCTCAGTTACACAAAGTCTTTTACCCCCTCCCTGTACCAGCACAGTAAAGTGTCCTAGAGTGTTACATACAAAATTGGACTTCGTGGATATGACAAAGGAGAGTCAAACCTTCAGAGTGTTTCATGTTCCTTTTCATACTACTAACCACCATTTACCAAACATTTACCATGTGCCAGACACTGTTCGGGTGCTATAGATAGAGAAAGTAAATACGTAATTATATCCGTGTATAGTTTTCTATATTGTATCTCCGAAAATATAACAACACTTGTGTTTTATTCTTGCCATTCATTTGCTTCCATTCAGGCAAGCAGAAATTAGTAAATGAAATCATATCTGATATTATAATACATGATAAAATGCAATACGTGATAAAATGTACCAATGTTTTATTTACCTATATCTTTCATTTAATACAACGAACTTCAAGGGAAGCATTACTCATTTGTTTTATCTCGATAAGGTACACTGAGGCCTTGAGAGGTTAAGTCACTTTTGAAGGTCATACTCAGCTAATGAACGGCCGAGAAAGAACCCGAACACAGGGAAAACTGGATCCCATCCCACAGTCTTGTCCATTTCACTCTACTGATTTTCAATAGGTATGCTCATCCAACCAGCAAGTAATTACTGAGTACCTGTGTGTTCAATGATGGTGCTCCTGAAATTTCTGTGTAATTTTTTGTATTGAATCATATTTTAAAAGTTTATTATTTTCATATTGAAAGGAATCTTTAATTAGAGCAAGTGGACACTCCTCTATTTTTTTTTTTTAATAACTCCAGGTATTCAAATAGTTAGTTTTCTTAAAGTAAGGTATGGTTGTTTGACGAAGCCAGTGTTCAGAAAAGCACTGAATAATCAGCCAGTTAAGGATGGGTAGAGTCTATTGGTGGAGAGTTTTTATTTTTTTAAAAAAACACTGAGGTCATATTTCGACCTTGTAAGCAGATTCAAAGCATCTTGGGTATAGAGGCGCCTTTCCTGACATATGAAACGTGCAGGGGGCTTGTTGTATTTATGTAAGGTCTTATCCTGTTAGAGATCCACATTACCCTGTTTCCTCCCATATATGCCTAAGGAATATATATCTCTTCCAGCAGAAAGTATAGGTATCTTTCCTAACCACACATTTTCATGAACATCCAAAGAAGAGATTGAATAGGGCTATGGTAAGTTTATAGGATTGCTAAATAAATGGTTGTTGAATGTTATCATTTTGCCGTAATGCTTATGAGGGCCTTGATTTTCTATTGGCTTCAAACACATAAGCTTGCAAAACTGTCAAATATGAGATAATTCTTAATTTTTTTAAAAAAAATTAATGCCCATGGTAAAAATGAAATCGTATTAAAAGTAAGGATATGCAGGACCAGTAAGTTTTCCTTCTATCCCTGCGCCTCAGCTTTTTAGTTCCTATCATAGAGGCTGTCACTGTTAGTATGTTCTTGGATTTCCCTTTCAGAG